CACAATCAGGCATGTGTGACTGAGAATCTAACCAGCAACCTCTTGGTGCATGGGACTATGCTCAACCAACTGAGCCACACTGGCCAGCACAAAGGGTATAGGACTTTTAAGGAAGGAAAAACCATTCCCTTTCTGCTGCAGGATATATGGGTAGGGGTAGGAGATTTTTTTGAAGATTCTATTTAGTTCACAAGATTGATCTAAGATTTTGTTACAAATTGAATAACATTTACGGATCAGCTTGAGATTGGAATCACCACTGTAACACTTTTTCTAAGGGAAAATCTGTTTCAAAGTTCAGAAACCTGTTTACAAATAATCTAATTTCACTGCAGGTAGAAACTACACGTGAATATTGTGACCCAAAGACTTTTACTGTTAAAAAACAAAACCCACCTGAGTTAGTTTGGAGCTTTGATAGGTCCTATCAAGCAATTCATGAGTCTGGCAGCATCCTATCTAGCAACTAGAAGGGCGCTCCCAGGGATTGTACACAATGGAAGGCTCTGCACACGTGATTGTAGAGGCAGTGCACACTGGGAGCCCCGAGGGGCATCACCAAGCTCCTACCCTAGGAACTGTCTCAGCATCAAGCTGCTCTAGCTTAGGACTGTGTCTGTGAGCATCTGTGCTCTGTCTCAGCTTACTTTGTGGACTTGTTAGTAAGATGTGTTCTAAGGGAATAGCTTCATTGATCTGCACCGTTTCACGGTATGGGAGGTTTCACAGGATTGCTCTACTTTCAGTAGTGGGTAAACCTGTATATTCTTTATTACATCACAGCATGTATCACACTTGTTATCATTACCATTGTGCCTGTCTCCCTGGCAAACTATTGGGGAGGCAGGAGCTTGTCCTGTTGTTTGCCACTGAAGCTCCTGTTTCTTATCTGGGGCCTGTCGCGTAGGGAGCACTCTACATTTGCTGAGCAAATCAGTGAGACTGGTGCTGAAGTTCTGGACTGCATGTGTTGGTTATATTTTATTAAAAGTAGCAATTTGGGCCCTGACTGGTTTTGCTCAGTGGATAGAGCATTGGGCCGTGGACTGAAGGGTCCCAGATTCTATTCCAGTCAAGGGCATGTACCTTAGTGGCAGGCTCAATCCCCAGTGGGGGGTGTGCAGGAGGCAGCTGATTGATGTTTCTAACTCTCTATCTCTCTCCCTTCCTCTCTGTAAAAAAATCAATAAAATATATTTTAATAAAAAAATTAAATAATTTTTAACCTGCTTTTCCTTCTTAGCAATATCTCATAGTATTTGCAAGCACTTACAATAAAATCATGATTTGAAATTGCTGTATTTTATGTAGAATGTTCTTGGTAATATTTAAATGTTTTTTATTTATTTATTTTTTATTCATGAGGGAAGAGGAGCTCAGACATTCCATACAGTAGTAAGGAATGAAACTGGGACTCAGTCCTCTGCCTCAGCCGCTCATGCTTCCCCAGCAAAAAGCAGAGGACTGAAATATGGGCGGAACCTTGCAGATATTTTGCTTGCCAGAGGGCACTGTAATAGCAAAGAGAGTGACTAATAAGTATTAATGGCTCATGACAAGAGGACAAAAGACAATTACCTTAATATATTGGGCGCCTTAGTAATGTTTGTACAGTGTTATTCATGAAATATTATTAGCCTGTGCCACAGGCAGTTGATGGGCCCAGAACTGGTTAGGTCTCTTGTTTCTCCTTCCAGATGTGCAGGGGCTGGGACTTCCACGGACCCGCCCCCGGAGAGCTCTGCGGAGCCAATCGGCGCACAGAAGGCGGGGCCCTGGGAGCGACAGCGGTGCTACCCAATGGCTGTACAGGCGGGGCCGCCTCTAGCCAATGGACGCGCGCTCCTCCGCGACGGTCGGAAATGGTGAGGCGGCTGGGGGCCGTTGTTCAGTGCCGGGGTTTGACTGAAAGGCTGCGGTGCCTGGGCTGCCGAGTCAGCCCGACGTCCTCCTGATCCTAGGTAGGTGCGGCGGCGGCCCGCTCCGGGAGCTTCCCGGGGCCTGCGGTTGGGGAGGAGGCCGGTCCCGAGGGCGGGGAGTGGGGCGAGAGAGCTGTAGGCCGGGCCGCGGCCGCTGAGGGCTGGATGCCGGCGCCGCAGCGTCCCCTCAGGCCGTTGGTGGAGGCGGCGCTTTCTCCTCAGGGAACCGGAGCCTTGACCGACCCCGCCGCTGCCGCGCCTCCCCGGCTTGGCCCCAGCGGCTGGGGAGCGGGCGTCGTCCCGAGCGCCGCCGGCCGCCGCGCCCCAGTCGGAGCTGGTCCTGGGCCTCGAGCTGCGGGGGAGGGGGGGTCGCGGCGGCCTCTGTGTGGCGGGTAACTGTCTCCCTGGACTGTCGCCTTCGCGCTCTCTGGAGCGGGGATGACTCCCATCCGGCAGGGTCGTGGCCCGGGTGACAGTGATTCCCCGCGGGAAACGGTTACAGAGAATGTTCACTGCTGCTGGGTGCGAGGATGGGGCCATCACCCGGGGTCCACCTCCCCCCGGGTCCACCTCCCTCCGGCCCCCACCTCCCCCCGGGGTCCACCTCCCCCTGGGTCCACCTCCCCCCGGCCCCCACCTCCCCCCGGGGCCCACTCCCCCCGGTCCACCTCCCCCCGGCCCCCACCTCCCCCCGGACCCACCTCCCCCCGGGTCCCACCTCCCCCCGGTCCCACCTCCCCCCGGACCCCACCTCCCCCCGGGGTCCACCTCCCCCCCGGGGTCCACCCCCCCCCCGGCCCACCTTCTCCCGGGGTCCACCTCCCCCCGTCCCACCTCCCCCCGGGGTCCACCTCCCCCCGGGCCCCACCTCCCCCCCGGCCCCTCCTCCCCCTCGGACCCCACCTCCCCCCAGGCCCCACCTCCCCCCGGGCCCAACTCGCCCCGGGCCCCACCTACCCCCGGGCCCCACCTCCCCCCGGGTCCACCTCCCCCCGGGCCCCACTTACCCCCGGGCCCCACCTCCGCAGTCGCCGGGGTCCACCTCTCCCCCCGGGCCCCACCTCCCCCCCGGGCCCCACCTCCCCCCGGGCCCACCTCCCCCCCGGGCTCCACCTCCCCCCCGGGCCCACCTCCCCCCGGGCTCCACCTCCCCCCGGGCTCCACCTCCCCCCGGGCCCCACCTCCCCCCCGGGCCCCACCTCCCCCCCGGGCCCCACCTCCCCCCGGGCTCCACCTCCCCCCGGGCTCCACCTCCGCCGTCGCCGGGGGAGGGACCGTTGGGCCGCGCTTCCCCGGAAGCGGGAGCCCCGCCCCCCGGGCGGAGGGGCGGCCCCGGGGGCCTCAGCCGGACTCCTCGCCTGGACGCCCGCGCCCATTGGCGCCTCACGGCGACCCTGGGAGATCCGGTCAGTTGTCTGCGTGAGGAATTGGAGACCCAGGGAGGTGAAGTCCCCCAGCTGCCGAGGGGCAGGACCCGGATGGACCCTCCGAGAGGCCGAGCCCGAGCCCTGGGTCAAACCCCTCGCAGTGAGAAAGCCGGGTACTTCGCTCACCCCAGTCTCCGCCCCGGGTTCAGGGGACTAGACTAGGTCACACCTGGCACCTAGGCTTCCCTCCCCCCGTTGCGAACGTGATTTATTTTCACAGGTAGGTGCTTCCTGTCCCTAGTTTACATTTCAGATCTGGGTGGCTATCTTGAATCTAGTCACTCCCTAAATACCATCCAGTCTGGAATAGTCAGTCTCCTTTCTGTCCATGAAAAGGTGGTTCCTTGAATCATTCTCCTTTTTTTCTTTACGTTCTTCCAGATCTATGTTTACTTTTTCCTTCATTGTTTTTTAGCCCTCACTGCCTTCATGGGCTTTTCCGAATTCTCACCCGTTGTCTTTGTTTAAATGTCATCTCAAAAAGTTCTTCACCATCCTTATCCAGCGTAGATTCTCTCCACTCCCATTGTCTGTGTACTTTTCCATCAAAATACTCATCTTAAGGTGTATCCATTTCTTTGGCTTATTTTTTTTCTCTTTTCCTAAATTGATTTGTTGGGCAAGACACTTATCTTTAATTTGTAAAGTATTCTTAATGCCAGGGCACAGGGTCTTAACCTGTTGAATGAATGAATGTGTTTTGAAAAGTGAGTTCCTTTGGAAATGTCAAAACCATTAAGGAGCTGTTTTGGGAGGCAACATTTAAGACCATTTTTGTGTCATGGAAAGGCATAATCTAAAGTAAATATTGGTAATAAAATTGCCAGCTTTCTGCATTGATCCCTTATTTAAAAAAAAAGGAAAAACTGGGAGTAGGAGTGGTGGAGGTTAAAAGGGGGGTTAGCTGGGGATAAAGGGAGGCATGTAATACTTTAAACAATTAAAAAAAAAACAAAAGGAAAAACTTTTCAGTGGAGAAACTTACACTCCCGAGTGATCAAAGTTAACATCACCTGTAATAATAAGCCTGTTGACAATATGCTCTCTGATATAATGCACCAAGGTGAACACAGCATCACTTTTGTGGTATTCTTGCCAGATATGTATTAGTCATGAGAAAACATCAAACCCAAACTGAAGGACATGCTACAGAATAGCCAATACACTTAATAAGGTTATGGGAGGTGAAGAAACAAGAAATATGCCAGGTCAAAGAAGATTAAGGGGAAATAAAATGCAGTATGTGACCCTGGATTTGATCCTGAACCAGAAAAAGGGTATTTGTGAAATTTGAAGATCTATTGATTAGTTGCTAGTATTAGTGTTAGTTTCCTACATTTGATAATTTTACTGTCGGTTATTTGGGTGAGAAGTATATGGGAGTTCTTTGTGCTTTTTTTTTTTTTTTTGGTAAGTCAAATTATTTTAAAGTGAAAGTTAAACAAAAATAAAAAGTTGAAACCCATGTTTTTGGTATTAAAATGCTTTAAATACACTAATTTTTGTGATATATTCTGTGCACTTTTTTTTTTTATTTGGTGTGTGTGTGTGTGTGTGTGTGTGTGTGTGTGTTTTGCTTGTCATCCTTAAAGCAGAAATGAAATTGAAAGTAAGTTCTCACTTCTACTTTTATAGTTTACCGGAAGAGCTAAAGATGGCTGAATTTCTAGATGACCAGGACACTCAACTGTGTGATAACTGGTAAGAAATTAATCTTAAGAAATGTTATTGGAATGAGGATAAACTAACTTCTGTAAAGGGTTGGTCTATTTATTGGCAGGTTAGAATTAGAGTCAAATAATTTGTCCCGGAAATATATAAGTCTGAAGCCTTTTTAACAATTTTGGATAAAATTGCCTATTTTAGTAATTTGACAGGATAGTTGGTTTAGCTATCATAGTGTGGTGTAGTGAGAAACTAGAGTGATAGGATGAAGCTGGGCTTCAGGGCTCTGGTTCCTGCTTTTAATTAGTTAATGGCTTTTGGCAAGTCACTGACTGCTTTGGGTCTTAACTTTCCTGACCTATAAACAAGGGAATTTATTTTTTTGCCTTTCTGAAAAATAGCATCATATGTTTTTTAAAAAGATACTAAAAATATCATAAGCCCTACCTTGGTTTGCTCAGTGGTTAGAGAAACACCCACAGCTGCCTCCTGCACACCCCCCAGACTGAAGGGTCTTGGGTTCGATTCTGGTCAAGGGCACATACTCGGGTTGCAGGTTCGATCTCTTAATAGGGGGTGTGCTGGAGGCAGCTTATCAATGATTCTCTCTTCATCATTGATGTTTCTATCTCTTTCCTCTTTCCTGTCTGAAATCAATAAAATAATTACAAATACATACATAATAAAAATGTTGGACTAGTTTAATTTAAAAAATGTATGTTTTTATTGATTTTATTGAGGGAAAGAGAGGAAGAGAGAGAGAAACATCAGTGATGAGAATTATTGATGGGCTGCCTCCTGCACAGCCCCCTACTGGGGATCTAACCTGCAACCTGGGCACGTGCCCCTGACAGAAATCAAACCTAGGACCCTTCAGACCTCAGGCGGATGCTCTGTCCACTGAGCCCAACTGGCTAGAGTGGTTAATGTGTTTTTTTTGTTAGTTTTGTTTTTTAGTATGTTGCAAGGATTTCCCTGAGTGGCTGTAGTGGCTGGTTATCTTTGGGTTGATTGGGAGCAAGGGTTAATGATCTTGGCTCTAAATATAGTAGTGAGAGAGCAGTTGAACCAGTGTAGCTGAACTGTTTTTATAAAGAATTTTGCTGGAAGAATGTTCAATTGCTTTAAGAAAAGAAAAAAGTAAAGTCTTCAGTTCAGATTATCATTATCATTTCATGATTCCAGAACTGTTAAGTGAAGACTGGGCATAGTTTCAAAAGTTGAACTTCCTATTTTGGAGTTTTTATAACCCATGTGAGTGACAAGAAAGAGAAACTCTGCTAAAGTGAAACTTAGAGGAGTGCAGCTAATCTGATTCTTTTTTTTTAATCTCACTTTAAAACATCTTTATTTATCTGTAGGTAGGAAGCAAGTATATTAGTATTTTGTCTGCAATTTTATTCTGGATGACACACTTATAGGCACATTCTTTTAATATAATCTTTACTTTAGCTAGCCTGTGAAATTGGAGTTTTCTAATTGTCACATCCAAATGAGTAAAAGGTTAGGGCTTTGGATACTATGTGCATCTTGTTTGAATGTATATATACTCTTGTTAAATTTGTTTTTTTATTTTTAAATTAGAGTTAACAAAATGTATTAGTTTCAGGTATACTACACAGTGATTTAGCATTTATATACCTTACAAAGTGTTCATCACAATAAGTCTAATGCAGAAATAAAAATTTTGGAAGCAGAAAAACTACCATCTAATAATTTGAGCAGTGAGATGATTCCTATACCATCCAGCTAAAAAAAAAAAAAATCACTGCAAAGCTGGAAAGTAGGATTGTTGGAAGGAGATATTATCCAGGATACTTGCCACACAACCAAATTAAACACGTGTCATACTCATTAAGTTTAAAAAACAAAACATTTCACCCTAGCCGATTTGGCTCGGTGGATAAAGCATTGGCTTGTGGACTGAAGAGTCCTGGGCTCCATTCCAGTCAAGGGCACATGCCCAGTTGTGGGCTCGATCCCCAGTAGGGGGCATCCAAGAGGCAGCCAGTCAATGATTCTCTCTCATCCTTGATATTTTTCTCTCTACCTCTCCTTTCTCTGCAATCAATAAAAATACATTTAAAAAATCTACACAAAACATTTGTAGACATTCAGTTGCACTGATCCTATCTATAAGCATGGCTTACTGAATTTTGCCAGGCAGTAACATGCGGCTCCAAAGACAGGGCCAACAGGCCCTGAGCAGCCAGGCCCAGAACAGCTCGCTCCTTGCCTGCCCCTGCCCCACGGCTGCTTCTCAGACATGGCTGGAAACTTTCGTGGGAACTTCAGGGTCTGCTGAATCAAGTGATGAAGGCTTAGATCTGGATGTGTTGAGTTAGTTTAGGACTGGGGTGTTGATCTGTGAGTGCCTTGGGTGGGGCCTGGATGAGGCTGGTGGACCTATTGGGAAATGTCTTTTGTGTGAAGTGTATCATTGGGCATGTGGAGGTATTATTGATATGAGAAAATGCTAAGTAACTGATTTACTATCTGAAAAGGGTCTTACTATCGGGGAAAGGGAGGGAAGAAGAGACTGAACATAAACTGCACCTATGGATGAGGACAATGGGGGATGGGGAGGGGGCAGAGGGTGGGGTGGGAACCTGGTGGAGGGGAGAAGAAATGAGGAACCTTTGTAATAATATGAACAATAAAGATTGATTAAAAAAAAAAAAAAAAAAAGACAGGGCCAAGAAAACATTGGTCCTGCCAGATCATTATTCATGATGCTTCCAAGTGCTACTTTGTTTTTAATCCTCACCTGAGGATATTTTTCCCATTGATTTTTAGAGAAAATGGAAGAGAGAGGGAAAGACAGAAATATCAGTGTGAGAGAAACACATTGATTGGTTGCCTCCTGCATGTGCCCTGACAGGGCCCTGGCCGAGGAGGAGCCTGCAACCAAAATATGTGCCCTTGACCAGAATTGAACCCAGGACCCTTTGGCCCCCAGGCCAGCGCTCTATCCACTGAGCCAAACTGGCTAGGGCCATGTGCTACTTTGAATGGATTTAACACTGTTAGTGTTTTTGCCAAATGTAGTCAGAATTGATACCTAATTCTTGTACTAAAGGTGCCCATGCTCAGAGTTGTTTCCATAGGATGGCTGAGGTGCAGTTGGACTATAGGCCTAAGTTGGCTGGAAAATCTGCCCAGTGTTGGCTGTTGTGGCTGCGTCATGTCTGGAGGGACAAGTTGCCCTTGCTCTCAGTAGCCATAGCTGCAGACTGTTGGGCCTTCCACAGTCATAGGACTGCTGCTGGTCATTGATGTTGTGACCTCTCTGACAGAAAACCCTGACATTGCAAATGATCAAGCATAGAGGTTGATGCAGTAGCTCCAACAGCCTGGCTTGACCTTTAGTGGAATAAATCTAATCTCAGACCGAGAGTGAAAATAAATGGTAGGCTTTTTTTTTTTTTTTTTTTTTTTTTTTAATAATACTGAAGTGTACCATTGTGCTTTGGGGCATGGATGGTTTTGGAAAAGTCTAGCTCAGCTCTTTTTGGCATCTGACTGTCTGACTTCATGTTGTTGGTTGTGATCAGCTCTGACATCTGGAAAGTGAGGTTGAGCTTCTATTATTTAAAAAAAAAAAAAAAAATATATATATATATATATATATATATATATATATATATATTTTATTGATTCTTTACAGAGGAAGAGAGAGGGATAGAGAGTTAGAAACATCGATGAGAGAGAATCATCGATCAGCCACCTCTTGCACACCCTGTACTGGGGATGTGCCTGCAACCAAGGTACATGCCCTTGACGGGAATTGAACCTGGGACCTTTCAATCTGCAGGCTGACGCTCTATCCACTGAGCCAAACCAGTTTCGGCGAGGTTGAACTTTTAGAATTAGTGAATAGCAGTGATAATTCAGAGTGTTACACAGAAGACTCAAACCTTCAGGAGTTGATTCTTGAAAGGCAGGGTTAGTAACAATAATAGCTAATAGACGAGATATTCCCTAAAGAGAAATAATGGAGAATAAAGATTGGACAAGACAGATTTTCACGTGATTACAACTGTGACTAGATCAGTCAGTAATGCTTGCCTTTTTCTTTGATCTAATTCTGTAGCAAAAGGGAAATTCCTTTGTGTAACTTTACCATCCATGAGATCCACTGTCAAAGGAACATTGGTGTGTGCCCTATCTGCAAGGAGCCATTTCCCAAATCTGGCATGGAGACTCACATGGCTACCGAACACTGTCAGGTAAACCAGTAAGGACTCAAATATATTAATGTATTTTACTTACTATTGTGCAATAGCAAGTGAGCAAGTTATTACAAAGCCAATTTATTGATTTTTACTTTTTATCTTAGGTAACCTGCAAATGCAACAAGAAGTTGGAGAAGAGGCTGTTGCAGAATCATGAGGTTAGTTTTCCTGTACAATGAAGGGAGTGAGTTGCTATGGGGCCAAGCGTGAGATTACAGGGCCACATGTGGAACAGAAAGCTAGTTTGGTTGTCTTTTCTCCACAAGATCCATGTACATCATGTACATTGCCTCTCAAAGCCTATTTGAGGTTCTGACTGTTGCCAGATCCGCTGCTGACTGTTGTGTCCATGCTCAGGCCTCAGTCTGTCCCTTTGGAACTGAGTCTGTCATTCTCATTCCGGGATTTGGCTACCTGCAGCCTCACTGAGTGCTAATCCAAATTGGGGGTAGCCAATGTGGTATGACCTCCTTTAGTCCACAACCTGCCTTACATCTTATAATTTCATTTTGGCTGATCATCTGGATAGTGTGCTGTTGACACCAAAAGAAATTTCTCAGAGAACACTTTGTGAGAGAGAACATAGTATCATTTAGTCCCTAGTTGAGATAAAACTGTCCATTGTTGGAAAATTTATCATGGTATGCAGCTTAAGATTTGTGCATTTCATTCTGTCTCAAATAAATTAACACTTGTTAATTTATAATTTTAAAGGGTAATTTATATTCAAGGAAGAAAACTAGAAAAGATATATAAAAACAAGAATCACTTGTAACCCCACAGCTTAGAGATAGATATCTCACAAATACTTTGGCACTCTTATTACCTTCATTATTTTTTCCATGATTGATGTCACGTTAACAATAAGTTTTTCTTTGGATCTAACAACTACCTGCTAACAACCTTCAATCAACTGCCCCCTCTTCTGGCTTCTTTCCCAGCTATTTCTGGGGTTCACATTGGTGATATAGCAGTCATTTTAAAGATTTGAGTACAGATTATTTTCTAACATTTCTAACATTTCTGCAAGTAAAACTATGACAGTGTAGGCCAGAGATTAAAGAGTTTGAAATTTTTTCCTTTAAAAAAAGTTTTTACTTTCTGTGCTGTTCTGGTGAGTTACTAGCACTTTTTAGAGTTGTTAAAATACTATATTATCTAGTAAGTGCCAGTGATGATTTGCTCTTTTGCTGTTGAGTAACTTAAATCCATGACATGTCCTTCATTTTCTGAGAACAGGATATTCCCTGGTGATTCTTGGCTTATTTGGTCAATATAAAGTCAGTGCTATAATACAAATAAGCAGGTTAGACAAATCAGTGTCTTTCTAACAGGCAGTCTCTTTACCAGATCTTAAAACAAATTGGAATGGTAAGGGGAAATTGGGCTGGTGGAAATTGGACAAACCTGTGTGAACTGTTATGTTTTTACTCTTTGCTCCTGGGCTTACCTGGCTGATTTTGGATTACTTTGTAACGTGTTCACAAAATAAGTCAGGGTGGTTGAATGAGTAGGTTCCTCCTAAAGCTTTCTTCCCTTTGTAGAACCTTGCGGCAGGGACAAAGCAAGAAGTCCTGACTCTTAAATTCATAGAAAAACATGGCAGGCAGTGAAGCTAGGGTTGGAAGAGAATATTGAAGTAAATATTTCTTTGCTTTCCTTGTCCTGGCCTCTTAGATTTGCGTATTAACTGCTTCATCACTCTGTGTTGTAGGAGACTGAGTGTCCTCTGCGGCTTGCCCTTTGCCAGCATTGCGATTTGGAACTTTCTGTTCTCAAACTGAAGGACCATGAAGATTACTGTGGTGCCCGGACAGAGTTATGTGGCAATTGTGGACGTAACATCCTGGTGAAAGACCTGAAGACTCACCCAGAAGTTTGTAGGAGAGATGGGGAGAAAAAGAGAGACGAGGTTGCCATGCCTCCTAACGCGTATGATGTGTCTTGGGGTCAAGATGGAATATGGATTGCATCCCAACTCCTCAGACAAATTGAGTCTCTGGATCCACCCATGAGGCTATCTCGAAGGCCCCTGAGAGCCTCAGAATCGGAACTTTCCCAAAGTAGGACTACCAACCAGAGGAATATGACAGCCCAGTTTCCAATTCAGAATAATCTATGTGAGTTGTGTTTGGGATTAGAAGCTTATCAAAATCTGTTTAATTCTCACAGGAGTCTAATGAGGGTAGGTAAGTGGTAGAGTGGAGATTTGAATTCAGGCAATCTGACCCCATGCTGTAAACCATTCTACAATGCAGAAAACACACATAAAGTGTTTATAGCACAGAGCCTGTCTCATAGCCAAAACTCAATATTGTTTATTATTAAAATAGTATTGGAACCTTTTATCATGCATACTTAATGTTTGGAGTCCTTTGAGAACTGGAGGGCTGGGCCTCTTTTATTCCTGCATAGATGCCTATACCCTGGAATATTTGTAGGCATGGACTTGAGCAAAAGCATGGCATTTCTAATGTATCTTGAGAACCAGTTTACCTTTTTTGCCCCCCAGTGGAAGAACAAGAAAGGAATAGAAGCCAACAGCCCCCCATAGAGGGCGGTGAAGACGGTTCAAACTTGGACTTCATGTTGGCCCTGAGTCTGCAAAATGAAGGCCAGGCCCCCAGGTTGGCAGAGCAGGACTTCTGGAGGGCTGTGTGTGAGGCGGAGCAGTCCCTTGGAGGTTCCAGTGCTCTGAATGACATAAAGGGTAGGTTTGTCTAATATTCACTAGCCTTTGTCTCCACAGTTGTGTATGTTTTCTCACATTATATAATTTATTTAAAAAATGAAAGTTTTTCATGAGATAAAATTTGCCTTTTTTGTTTGGTCATTACTTTTCCAACTTTTTATTTTTAAAAACTGTCAGAAAATAGTATAGCAAATATCTTATATACCCCTCATCTTTATTCACCATTTCTAGTATTTTTCTTTGATCTTTATAATCTTTCCCCTTGAGCTATTTGAGAATAAGCTGCAGATATAACATTTTACCTCTATATACTTCAGGATGTATATTTCAAGAAAAGGATATTCTAAATAAATGCACATATCTATATATGTTTTTCATTTTTCTTCAGTGTGTCTCATTTTCAAAATAACCTCATACCTTAGTCATATTACAATTCCCTTTATAACATATCTTTAAATGTGTTATTTTTATATTGTGTCTGAAAATATATCAAACTCTTTTTGGTCTTTGTTTTTTCTATTGATTCACTCATGGTGGCTTGCTGCCTCCCTCTTTACATGTACACACAGGAGTTAGCCGAGTTTTCTGATGTGTTCCTCAGAGTATAATGCTTCTAGCAGGATACTATTGGGATAGTATTGACGGGATACTATTTTTAAAAAAATATATTTTATTGATTTTGTACAGAGAGGAAGGGAGAGGGATAGAGAGTTAGAAACATCGATGAGAGAGAGTCATCGATCAGCTGCCTCTTGCACACCCCCTACTGGGGATATGCCCGCAACCAAGGTACATGCCCTTGACTAGAATCGAACCCGGGACCCTTCAGTCCCCAAGCCGATGCTCTATCCATTGAGCCAAACTGATCTCGGCATTGACGGGATACTATTGACGGGGATAGTTTTAAACTGAATTTTTGGGTTGGGTTTTTAAAAATCATAAATGTAGATTTTGGACTCAGATCCATGTGAAGGCCAAACTCAATAATATTTGTAACTCCTAGTTACTTTTAAGAAAAAAACAAGAACAAACTTTAAGTCAGAGAGAGGAAGAGAGAAGAGAGATAGAAACATCAATGATGAGGGAGAATCATCAATCGGCTGCCTCTTGCAGGCCCCTATTAGGGATTGAGCCTAAAACTTGGGCATGTTCCCTGACCAGGAATTGAGCTCTAACCACTGAGAACACTGGCCAGGCTTCATAAGTCTTTCCTGAGGATTGAAATAATGCACAGAAGGCTGATTAGTGCCTAGAGTTATTGCACAAACTTCTTTCTTAATGAAAGTAGTGGGTAAGTGACTGATATTAGCTAATCAGGGATGGTGGCCAGTAAATCTTTTTCCCTAGTGGCAGTTTTTGCTTGGGATTTGTCTCTTGGGCAGTTTTGTTGGGAGGATTTACAACCCCACAAATTGCTTTATCTCTGAAATGTCAAAGGGAGTCACACTTTTACTTAAATCCCCACCAGGGGAATAACAGGTTGAATCAAGTTTGCTTTTGTTCAATGTCATCTGTGTGGCCTCTGATACCCAGGTACAGCTGATGAGACCATGTTGCCCTGTGAATTTTGTGAGGAGCTCTACCCAGAGGAATTGCTGATCGACCATCAGGTGTGTTGTGAATTACTGGAGAGTTTTAAGGAGGAATGTGTGTAGGCCATAGTTGGTGTTGCAGGCCACATGAGGCCTTAAGCAAAATTCTTTTTTTTTTTAAATATATTTTATTGATTTTTTTTACAGAGAGGAAGGGAAAGGGATAGAGAGTTAGAAACTTCGTTGAGAGAGAACCATTGATTAGCTGCCTCCTGCACATCCCCTACTAAGGATGTGCCCGCAACCAAGGTACATGCCCTTGACCGAAATCAAACCTGGGACCCTTGAGTCCACAGGCTGACGCTCTATCCATTGCGCCAAACCAATTAGAGCGAGCACATTATTTTAATAGGCCTATTCTAGGAGTAGCAGCTGTGTCTTACCATGTGTGAGAACTTAGTCTTGTTCACTCTTGGGAAAAGTATTGCTCATTCCAGCAGGCCCAGTTTGCTCCCTCCGTGTGGTGACTACTCTGTCTCTAATGATCATATGTAATCTGGTCTTATCTCATGCCCCATTTTGTTTATTGGAGCTGTACTGAAGTCCTTGCAGTTCCTTGAAAGGGTCAGGGCTCCTTCTTACACTTGGTCTGTCTGGAAGCCAGGTGGCCTTCCACTCCTGCCTCTTCAACAAACCCCTTACCTGTAGACTTGTTTCAGACACAACCTGCAAGAAACTATCCCGAGTGACACTCTCAAGACTAGATCAGAGGTCTTACCTATGTGCACCCTAAAAGTTCTCTGCCCACTTCTCTTTTAGTCTGTTACCCTGTGATGTGGTCTCCTGATCCCCTGTCGTCTGTACCATTGGCTGAGTTCCTTGAGGACAGATTCTGGGTTTTCCTAGTTTCTGAATCTTAATACCTGGTATATGAAAGGTGTCAGATATTTCTTAAATGAACGTTCTTGAGCCATTTAGGAATGATTAGAGAATAATAGACTTTGTCTTAGGATTGCTTAGTGGATGGAACTACTTTTCCCCTCGACACTCTTGCTCTGTCTGATTTGGATTGGCCTAGTCTAGCATTTCCAAAATCTAAGCACCCCATAAGTGGAATAATACATATTTGAATAAACCTAGTTTTAGGTTTGGGAGCAGCATAAGAAAATCCACTTAAGTAAGAATATTTGGGTTCTCGCTTGCTATGTGATTGTGAGAAGAATCTTGAATATGTTCCAATTAGTTTAAAAAATAATAATCACATGAACACAGTAAAAAGAGCACAGGAATGTTTAAAATAAAAGTAAAGTGAGCATTCAGTCTGCATTTCATGACCCTTTCTAGTTCCTCTCCTCAGTATTAAGCCTTATTAAAATTTTGAGACGCCTAGAAAATGTTTTAATATTTTCCCCTTAACCTTTTTAAACCCCTTCTTCCCCCCCCCCCCTTTTTTTTTTTGAGACAGACAAGCTGTAACCCTTCGCGTGCCTTACCTTCATTTAACATGGGTAGCACTTCCCCCAAAGAGGTGGTGGAGGACCCTGATGCCATCTTCCAGAGGTTTCTGCAGCAGGCTGCAAGTAACCAGTTCAGCTCTTTGATGGGCCTGAGCAATGCACCCTCTGTGGAGAGCAGCATCATCATCCCATGTGAATTCTGTGGGGTCCAGCTGGAAGAGGAGGTGCTGTTCCATCACCAGGTACAAGTCACTGAAGAACCGTCCCCTTCACTCCATGCTGATCCTGAGTGACCCTGGGGCTTTCAGAGCTGAGGACGCCTCTTTAGTGTTTAAGTTTTATGCGTGCCTGACTTGGCTACTGGACATGCCCTGTTTTGTGAGCTTTCTTTACCATCTGGCAACTGAAGCCATCATGTCACTAGCTAAGGACCAGGGAGTCAGGACTCCTATGCAGGTGTGGAGCACTGTCAGCCTGGTTGAGACGAGAACTCTTTTGATGTCACTAACATATTTTACTTTTGACCAGGCAGATTCTTCTGTTGTGGTGGTATTTAAGGCTTGCATTTCGGGAGTTCTTCTATTGACCATGGGGTAGATCCCGTTTCCTCACTGGGGATATCTGTAAATGAAGGAGTTATACTAGACAAGTTGAAATCCTTTCTCAGCTTTTGTAGGATTCACATCTGTTAATAGGGAATACAGTTTTCTGCCCAATCCCTATTTGTTATAGGGAGCTAACCTCCAGGTGTGTTCAGGATTGTTTCTGTAGTTGAAGCCTTATAGCTGTTGCTAGACCACCACACATTTCATTCATGTAAATAAAGACTTCTGCTTTTAGGTCAAGTAGTAGATAATAGACTGCTGGTTGTCTCCTCCAGGAGACTCTGAAATAAGCAACTACGCAAATACTCTGTGGTCAGAGGATAGGTAGGATTCTTTTCAGTGCTCTTGACACCAGCCGTTCCTTGACCCCTGCGCAAGTCAGGCAGGGCTTCTTCAGTACCTTGGGTGCTAATAGGAACGATTGCTCCTTTCTAGATGAGTTTCCTTAGTCTCAGGCCCTCCCTCTCAGTGGTTGTCAAAGACCCCGGATAAGGTGTGTTTCCCTAACCTCCTGCTCCTTCCTTCCTTCTTACTGCTCCTTCTCCAAGAAATGACTCAGCCCAGAGATACTAATTTTTGTTTTGTTTTGTTAGGACCAGTGTGACCAACGCCCAGCCACAGCAAACAACCATGTGACGGAGGATATTCCTAGACAAGATTTCCAGTCTCCAGAGACCTCACCAGAGTTGCCCAAGAGGCGTGTCAGACACCAGGGTATTAGCCAGGGCTGAGCCAAAGCTGCAGGTCTGCTGCTGACTCGGGCCTATTTACCGTTTCTCATCTGCTACTCTAACATGGGGGTTCCCTGAATCCTGAACCAAGCACAGTAGGATCTCACTACTAGCAATTGTGATCTCATGTTAGACTGAGCAGTCTTGAGTGTAGGTTTATAGGGTACTGGTTTGGTAGTGATTATTCAGCTTTCTCAGGGGACTATTTGGAGATAATTTTTGGAACTTACTGTGGCTACCTTGGGCCCTTACCTCTAGTTGAAATTTGTTTAGAGTATTCAATCATTATTATTATTATTTTAAAAATATATATTTTATTGATTTTCCACAGAGAGGAAGAGAGAGGGTAGAGAGTTAAGAAACATTGATCAGCTTCCTCCTGCACATCCCCTACTGGGGATGTGCCCGCTACCAAGGTACATGCCCTTGACTGGAATCGAACCTGGGACCTTTCAGTCTGCAGGCCAACGCTCTATCCACTGAGCCAAACCAGTTTTGGCATAATTATTAAAGAGAATCAGGGACTAGGCAAGTAAACTGTTTTAAAACTCACTACAAAGCCAGTTAGACATTATTTTTCAAGGTCTGCTTACACATGATTGTTGGTTAGTTACATGAGGACTCAATAAGCGTATAGTGTGGACAAAGTTGTTCTCAACTGTTTGGAGACTTAGGTTTCAGCAGCCTTTAGAGGAGAGGCAGTTGTGTTTTACCCAGAATCTTCAAATTCCTGCTCCAACTCTAGCACTAATAGCAAGAGCAGTCTTTTCCCTAAAACTGGTTCTCTCTTCTCTTGGCAGGTGACCTGTCTTCTGGTTACATGGATGATATTAAGCAGGAAACCGCTAAAGTGCCCACCTACCCTCTTCCCCCTAGCAGGCCCATTAACAACGTTATGGCTACCTATAACCGTGTGTCAACATCCACTTCGAGCCCGAAATCTGGTTCCCAGCCCAGCGTAATGAAGCTCAACAACTTAGACAGCCAGGACATTCGGGGGTGGAATAGAAACAGCCATAATGGGGCCATGGCAGCTGGGCAGGTTCCAGTGATTCGCTCTGTTCGAAGTCTCTACCCAGAAAACCTTGCGCCCTCTTTCCCCCGTGGGCCTTCAGGGAGACATGGGTCAAGGTAATAATCAATAGCTCAGGAGACTATGAGAGTGTGGACTTTGCTTGTGCTATGGTCTGATTCCAGAATGTCCTTTTGCTCTTTGTTGTTGGTTTGTCTGCTCACAAAGAGCTGCTGTGTCTGGTTCCAGTTGTTTGCTGAGTTGTCTGACATTTGCTCAGGGGCATCTTAGAAAGTAGTTTCCAATCCTTCTCTTTCAGTGGAAGGAGCGAAGGTGGCAGGAACTCAAGGGTCACCGCCACAACTGCCAGCTTTCGCAACAGGACTGCAAAGGTAACGGGAGATCCAGCCTCAAAATGCTTAGTTGAGGGCTTGGGAGCGGTGGGTGTGGTAGGCATGGTTCTTGAAGTCAGAGGAGCTGGGCAACGGGCCGCTCGTGGCTGAAGGGCGGTTCATTTGCCTTTTGATGAAGAGGTTTCTATGGAAGCTTGACATTTCCAGAGCTCTGAAGGCATACGGCCTGAATTTTCACCTTCTATGTGGGCTTTTGTTTGTGTTGTTTTCAATAGGCAAAACCCCCCAAGCAACAGGGAGCTGGTGATGCTGAGGAGGAAGAGGAGGAGTAATGGTGTTTGCAAGAACCTGCACAGGGTTCCATCTTCTCTGCGCAGCCGCAGTGCAGGCTCTGCCTCTCGGGCTCTGTGGGCAGAGGAGATTTTAGATTTACCTTTTTTCTAAGATATGACCATTTTGTGTCTTTTGAGATTGTGATGTGGGAGTTTGGGGGTTGGAGGGAGGGCTAGCAGGGAGGCTGTTCAGAAACGTTTCAGCTTTTAGCTGCTGCCTTTTGGCAGCACAAAAATACAACTTAGGCCTCTCAGCCCACCAGGGCTCCAACTTTTGACAAACTGTCATCGCTGTTTCCTGGTGCTGTGGTCCTGGTGGAGAGAGGAGAGGGTTGTGGAAACCTGATTCTTTTTCCTGCAGGGGCCTAAATTTGGGAACTTTTGGGTAACCTCCTGTGTGCTGCCCCTCCCCACTCTAGAATTGGGACTCTGGTTTGTGTGTGGAACAGCCCTGGGAAAGTGTTCAGGTCAGTTGCAATATATATTAGGAACAGGCTTTTGGAGATGAGTTGAACTAAAATGGACTCCGGCTTTGTTTTAATCTGTTTCTTTGGCATTGGGCATCATGCCTTCTGTTTTGGTGGGGAAATGGCTCCTTTTTCTTTACTGCCTTCTGATGGAGACAGTGAGGGGCTTTCTGTCCCTGCCAGGGCCTTGCTGGGCTCTCCGGACTGGGACTGAGCCCTAAGCTCTGTGACTTAACTCTAAACCAAGTATCAGAGCTCCCATCTCCCTCTTTTTATTTTATTATTATAATTATTAACATCTTGTACTAGAAATAAAGTTTGTACTTGAAGTTTACCTGAGTCTGTGGCTCCTTCTCCTGTGCACTCGGGAGACCTCAGGGAGTGAGGGGGAAGGTGAGCAGGACTAGGCTTTCTCTGCTTCCCGGAACCCTGGCGGGTCCAGGGTGAGCTCCTTCTCAGAGCCTCCATGGAAAACATGAAGGAGGTTCTTCAAAAAATTAAATAGAACTACCATATGGTCCTGTAACCCCACTTTTGGGTACTGATCCGAAGAAATCTGAAACACTCATTTGAAAAGATAGGGGAGCCCTTATATTCATTGCAGCATTACTTACATTACCCAAGACATGGAAGCAACCTAAGTGTCTGTCAGTAGACATGGAAAAAGAAGATATGGTATAAATGTACAATAGAATATTACTCAGCCATAAAAAATGAAATGTTGCCACTTGCGACAATATGGATGGACCTAATGAAGAAACTCTTCAGAGAACAAATGGATGGTTAGATGGGAGGGGGTTTAGGAGGATGAGTGAAAAAGGTAAAGGGGTTAGGATGTACAAATAGCCACTTATAAAAACAAGCAAATGGGATGTTAAAAGTACTATAGGAAATATAGTCAATATAATTATGGTTTCAGGTGGATACTAGATCTGTGTGATCATAAGATGTAAATGTCTGATCACTATGTTGTACACCTGAAACTAATACTGAATGTTAACTGTAACTGAAAATTAAACCTTTTTTGAAAAGATGATCACACAATTCTTAGAGAAAATCAAAATTAGATGAAGATTATTTATTGGTGAGACTTTGTTCCTGTAGTGAGCTTTCTTTACACAGCAATGGTGTAAATAGCATCAAATTGAATGAAAAGTTTGTTAAATGCAACCATAAATAATTATAATAAATACACATCAAGTAACTTTACAGCACATGTGTTTTAGGGCCAAGGTTTAGATCTGTCTGGACCTCAATGTGCTCTCTGGGAGAAGCAGTCATGTTAGCAGCAGGTAACTCACAGCTATCATCTCATCAAGTGATTGGCCAACAGAAGCTTCCCAAATCCCCTCATGGGGGAGGTAGCTGACAGAATTCTGAGTTCATTCAAGGGATGGAAAGGGTTAGAGGGAACTAAGAATTTAAAAATACAGGAGGAAAAACCACTTCTAATAAATCCAAAGGCTCTTTCATTATGCAGGAATGAAACAGGATCCTTGTCAGGACTACATCCTGCTGTGACCTCCAGTCTAGGGGGCTGTGGCCACATGAGGCAGCGGCCAACCACATTCTCCAGACGGGGACACTGCAGGCACTCACCTCCAGACACTGATCCTGCATCAAATATAAGTGATGCAACTGGACAGTTAACCCAAGTTTATCTTCCTTAGGGGAGGGGATCTTTTCTACAATGGTCCTTAATGCAGTTCCTAGGAATAATAGGGAGGAGAGGGATGCTAACGGCTCAAAAATCCACGTTTCCATCAGGCATCGGAAGGAGGAGCACATCCTCCACTTACCAGCATTCACACTCCAAACCATCTCTCAGCACTCACTCAGAACTTCCAATATTCACAATATTATACAATAAATACAGTGATGAATTCTGTGAGAACTGGCAAGGTCCAAGTGACAGTCCAACAAAATGGCATATGCTGCCCTTCAACAGAGTACCACTGGACAAAGACCCAGGTGGGGCACAAATGCAGGGGCAGTGGGTGAGCTGGGGCAGCCCAGCCCTGGCACACACATGGGGCAGCGAGGAGGGTACTGGGTGGGCCCAGCCAGGGGGGCAGAAGGACCTCCCTTGCGTCTCCATCTGGACTGGAAGGTCTTAGTCACGGAAGCAGACCCCGAATTGAGCAGAGCACCTCAGACAGCTCTTTAAAGTGGGGGTGGGCCCTTTCCTCAGCTCCTCACGTCCCTCCTCAGCGAGGAAGGGCCGTTTCCGAGCACAGGAGTGAGGAAGGCTTGCATCACGTGTTTTCCTATTCAGTCCGTCTCCAGCACTGTTCCTCTCAACCCTGGAGCTGGGACGCAGCCGCCTGGTTCTGAACTGACGTCGGGAATGAACCCTTTGGTCGCCTGCTCCTGAGGAGCAGAGTCTGGGAGGGACCACTATGGACTTTTCCTCAGAAAAACCCAGACCATTCACAAGGCTCTAAAGAGTTAACATAAACCTCCATGTTTGGGTAACTGGTCCCACCATGGAAGAAGGCCTGAGGAGCTGCATCCAGGAGAAACTGGCTCCAGGTAGGTGGGGCAGGCCTGGCCACAGGCTTGTTTGTGGATGTGTTCTCGGAAGGAACCAGGACTCTGAGAGGGCGACGGCGTCCCATCGCCAACTTCCTGCTGGGTGGTCCTGTGATGTGGAACCATCTGGGGCCCTAGGGCCTCAGAATCTGGTGGCCACGAAGGACAGTGTCCAGGAAGATCAAATACGACACAAACTGGGAACTAAACTACCCTACAAACACCGTGAACGGTAGCAAAAGAACCAACCCATCACAAAACGTACAAATACAAAAGGGTAAGTCTTCCAGGAGGCCCTGGAATGTGGACAAAAGTTCAGAAAAGCAAAACGTCGCCACCTCCTCACGCAGGGCCCTCCCTGGAGGGACATGCCTGCGGGGGCAGGCCTCCCTGCCGGCGGAGCAGTGCCTCGGTTTCAGCCTCACCCTGGGGCTCCCTCCCTTCAGCCACTCAGGGGGTCTTCGCGGTAGTGAATGGCACAGCGCAGTTTCTCCAGCATGATTTCCAGAGAGGAGTACTGCGGAAGCTTGATCATGAACATGCATGTCTCCACGCGGATGTAGCGAGAGTCTGGGGAACCTATGGGAAAATGGGGTCGGTGTTAGAGGGCTGGGCTGGAATCCCAGGGAGACCTAGGCCTGGCTGGCCCTCACATGGCACGGGAGGTGGTGCAGAAGATTCTGGAGGAGAAAAAGCAGACACACCACTGCTGACCTGAGAGGGAATCTTATTGCAGACAGCAAAGGGTTTGTTTTTTAATTAAATTATTTTGCTGCATTTATTTTATTTTTTCCAAAAAATTTTTTTAATCCTCACCTGAGGGTATTTTTTCCATTGATTTTTGTTTGTTTTTATCTTTGTTCCCATTGATTTATAGAGAGAATGGGAAAGGGAGAGACAAAGAGAAACACTTATGTGAGAGAGACACAGATTGGTTGTCTTCCACATGCCCCAACCAGGGCCGGAAGCCTGCAATTGAGGTACATGCCCTTGACTGGAATCAAATCCAGCACCCTTCAGTCCCCAGGCTGATGCTCTATCCACTGAGCCAAACCAGCTAGGGCTATTTTGCTGCATTTAAAAGTTGAGAGATTAAAACATGTCTAGATTTTTAGCTTTTACAAATATTGGCAAACATATCAACTGTCTTGTTACTTGAAGGTCAGGTGTGGGAGACATGCTCCCCTTGGCCTTTCCCCCACTTACATCTGGGCTTTAGTGTTTGGGGTCCCTGATCTGTTTTCTCCCTCCCATGCAGGGCCCCATTCTAATCAGAGAAGGGCCTTCTCCCACTTGGCACATGACCAGGGAGGGTAGTACCTGCTGTGCCATCTGGGGGGGCGATCTTCATGGGGTACGGAGGCACATGGGCTGTGTCGGGGCCCCCGTCCTTGCAGGGGCAGGTGAACGGGATGCGCTCCTGGTTGCAGGCAAACTTGATGAACTTGCACAGCTCCTCCTGGGCGAACATCTCCAGGGCCCCCCAGAAGAACTCGATGTGTTGGTCCGTCTCCATCAGCCCCACCTGGTACATGGTGTGGGCCTGGCAAGAAAGGCCCCGGGTGTGAGCAGACCTGGCCTCTGCTGACCCAGGGCCTCCAGGGCAGGCCAATCCCGGGACAGAGCGCAGCGGGGAAACGATGGCGAGGACCTGATGCCAGTGACCGCGAAGTTAGTTGTATCAGTGCTGGTTTGAGTGACTGTGGCCTAGGCACCAGACCTGGCAGCAGGGCTTATCCATGTTACCACTCTGACCCCCCTGGGCAGATCCTGTCACCGTTCCCACTAGAGGGGAAGTCACTTGGGCAAGGTCTCTCAAGTAGGAAGCAACGCTGGGACACAGGCCCGGTTGAGGGAAGCTGGCATGGGCTGAAGCAAGGAGGGGTCTTGGCAAGGATCGTCCATCAGCTCAGAATGGTGGCTTAAGGCCTGGGCTCTGGAAGCAGGTGATCTGGGTACAAAGTTTGACTCTGCCACTTGCTGGCAGTGTGACTTATCTCGTGGCTTTGGGTTACTCAGCTGTGAGAGAGGGTTGAGTGTAGCTTCTCCCACGTGCAAGGAGGGTGCTGGGGCGCAGGAAGTGCTGGGACAGGCCCTGCCCGCCCGCCCAGCCCCAGCTCTGACCTTCAGGAACTCGAGGTTGATGTAGGGGAGGCCGCAAGTCCGCAGCTCCATCTCCAGAGGGCTGAGCGTGGTGAGCAGCTGCAGGGGCACGATGGAGCCCAGGCCCGCCCGCACGGCCGTGGTGCACTCGTCGTTCTGCAGCTCCCGCAGCCGCAGGCTCCGGATGGCGGCTGCGTAGATGTCCTTGTTCTCCCACCTGTGGGGTCAGGGGACGCGGTCAGGGAGGCGGCCGAGGCAGCTGATGGGGTTGCCCTAGGTCCCCAGTTACCCAGGTTTCCCACCTCTGGTGACGCCCACCTCAGCTGGTATTTTCTAATATAAACGGCCTTCTGCTGAAGACAGTCCACCGTCTTTCTTGATGCCCAGCGTCCTGCCTCATTTCCCTCCCGCTGGTGAAAGCTGCCTGTCACCTGACCGGGGCCCTGGTGCCGCTGTTAGACCCCAGCCAGCCGGCTTGGCCAGGCCCCTCCGTGCACACACTCACGCCACAGGGATGTGCCGGCCGCGGCTGCACAGCTCCACCTCCTCGCCCGTCATGGTCAGGTAGGTGAACCGGCAGCAGGGCTTGGTGGGGCTGTCGGGGCTGTCGGTGGCCAGGTGCTGGGAGGCGATCTCGGCGCACAGGGCCTCCAGCTCGATCTCGTCGTTGATCTGGAGGCAGAGGCAGACGGAGGCTCACTGCCCGCCCGCTCCCAGGCCCCCAGGAAGACAACCTCGGCCTCCAGATGGGCCAAGAGCAGGCACAGTTTGGGTGGGGCTGCCCTTGGCCATCATGAATGGCACGTGGCATGGGCCTGGCCAATCAGAACCCGCCATCAGTTCAGGGTTGGGCCCGTGAGACCCCAACTGCAGGACTTGTCCCATTTCTGTTTGGAAGCAGCAGCCTCATTCATGGACATGGACATGATCGTGAGAGGGATCACCTGGTTTTGCTGGGGTCACAGACCAGGTTCTGATGCTGTCATTTGAGCACCTGGATTTGGTCTGAAGCCGCAGGCTGACGCTCTGTCCACTGACCCAAACCGGCGAGGGCTGTACATTTAGTTTTAATAGCAAGTCATTAAAAACAATTTTTTTCCTAAGCTGGTTTGGGTTGGGTTTTCTATCACTTGCCAGCAGAGAGCCCTGACTTAATCCCATCTGTGGGTGACACTCTCTGGCACACTAACGTTATGTTATGTTTACAAAATAGCGAGCGGTGTGCACCCTGGGCTCCTGAGATGCCGGGGTCTGACCAGCGGAGAACAAACCGCTCCCCTGGGGGGTGAAGGTGCAAGTAGGGGCTGAGCACGCAGTGTCCGTGCAGCAGCCTGCCCCCGCGGCGAAGGCTGCAGGCAGCCCGGCCCCCCCCCCCCGTGCAGTTCTGGTGTTCCTGGCGGCCTTGCCCAGCCCTTCACACAGAACCTTGCTGGACTATCTGCCTGCCCCAGGCCCAGGCTGCCCAAAGCCCCAGGAGGACTTCTCAGAGCAGTGCCTGGTGGGCACTCACAAATGCCCAGACTGTGGGGAATCCTGCTCTGACCGTCTGGACAAGCCATCCTCCCTATTTCTGCTGACATGCCAACTGCCATCCAAGATCTCGTTGCTGCTCCCTCAAACAGTCTGCCCTCAAGTGGTGGCAAAGGGGACGACTACAGAGAGCCTGGCAAAGAGGCCCTCAGAGGGTCCCTCAAGTTTTGTGCCAGAATCAGCTGACAACCTCCCTCAGCTGAGGTCCCATGGACAGGCACAAAGCCAGCCAGTCCCCTGCAGCACAGGCAGCTGGCCTCAAGGAGAGGGGTTAGGTGGAGGCCGAGGCCACACCACCAGCCATCTCTAACCTGAGGAGAGGGGTGAGGAGAGAGGGCCCTGCCAGTGGACAGACCAGACCCAACTGGTACCCTCGTTCCAGCCAGCTCCCCTCTCTGGGCCTTGTTTCTCCCTGGCCTGTGGGAGGAAGTGTGAGGACAGCCCTCCAGCAGCCCGGGAGCCCAAGGCAGACCTGTCTCATGCCTGCTGAATGCATGGACGGCCCTGAGCAGCTCCCACAGGCTCAACCAGAGCCTGGGCACCGGGCGCTGGTCTGTGCAGAGAGGGATGGTCAGACACGGCTGTGTCCCTGCTGCCTCTCGTCCCACTGCACCAGGGGAGGGACTGAGAGCTCCACTCCCTCCGCCTTAATCTCA